TCACCACTGAATCCTGGGCATGGATTAAGCAGGAGACTCTAGAAAGCAAACAGTGATGGGTGTCAAATGGCCAAGAGAGATGGCCAAGCATACTAGGGGTCAGGGCTGAGCAGGATCACAACCCAGGTAGAGAGGAGAATGCTCAGGCCCAGGACACTGCAGATACCAGTGGGTGAGGACAGATTCACCCCGTAGGGGACTCCCCGCAACCTGTGGGGACAGGGCCCTCAGGAGGGGTGCACTGCTCATCCAAGAGTGCAGGCTGCACAGGGGACCTCCATCAAGGAGTTTAGCATGTAAAGGGGAAAGGGTGACACAGGAGCCACACTGAAGTCACCAGTGGCACACTACATTGGCAGCATAAAACTTTGAGGTGCTGAGCTGATGGCCACATGACTCCTGCTGACTCCCTCTCAATGCCCACCATCCTAGCCTAGTCACCAGAACATCAGGCCAACCTCAGATGAGGGCCATCCTCCAAAGTGCCTGACCAACGCTCCTCAAGCCATCAGGGCTATCAGGAGCAAGGGCTGGGAACCTACTACAGCAGACAGCACTTGGCAGATGACTTCAGGCCAGAGCCCTGAGCAAAGAGCTCAGCTGGCATCTTCCTGGGCTCAGAACTGCACTCGACCTCAGGGTCACATCTGACCTTGAGCACGGGAGGCCTCCGCCAGCCATCCTCTAGGACTGGCCCTGAAGGGCATCAGTATCCAGAACACAGGAAGGCCTCAAACACTCACAGCCCCAAACAGTCCCATCAAGAGCTGGGCAAAGGACTAACAGACCCTTCTCAAAAGAAGAAATACAAATGGCCAACAAATACATGAAAAAAATGTTCAACATCATTAGCAATCAGGGAAACAAAATCAAAACTACCCTGAGATTTCATCTCACTGCAGTCAGAATGGCAGCCACCAAAAATACAAACAATAATAAATGCTGGAGAAGATGTGGGGAAAAGAAACACTTTTACACTGTTGGTGGGACTGTAAGTTAGTACAACCACTGAGGGAATCAGTGTGGAGGTTCCTCAGAAGACTTGGCATGGAACCACCATGACCCAGCTAGACCCTTTTCATCTTACTGCAGTGACACATTCACACCCATGTTTACAGCAGCACGATTCACGGTAGCCAAACTATGGAACCAGCCTAGGTGTCCATTAGCTGATGAATGGATACAGAACATGTGGTATAAATACACAAGGAGTTTTATTCAGCTACAAGGAAGAACGAAATTATGTCCTTTTCAGGAAGATGGATGGAACTAGAGACAATCGTGCTAAGTGAGCTAAGGCAGACTCACAGACAGCTGCTTTCTCTCATATGGAGAACTAGAGAGAGAAGGAAAGAGGGTCCTAGTGAGACAGAAGGGAGCACAGAGGAAGGGGACTATGGTGTGGGGGGGGGTGACAAAAAGGACCCAGGGTGCTGCTTCCCACTGGCATGAGTGAGTCACAGCAATCCCGGTCAGGTAGAGTCACCGTGTGTGAACAGAAGAGCACAGGCTGCTGCCTGGTCTCCAAAGTGTTGGCTTCTACCTCCCTTGGCAAAAGCCAGGAGCAGGCTGCCTGAGAGCAACTGTAGTCTGTTTGCCAGTGTGATAAGTGTGTGACCACTGGGTCAGGGGTCAGCTCTGCAAGGAGTCTGGCTTTCAATACTGGTTCCATTGGCATTTCCGCACAGCTGAGGGACAGAACACTTTCCTGCGCTGCTAGCCGCCATGTGTCTTCCTTTTGAGAAATGTGGACTCAAATCTTTTCTCTACTTTAAAATGGGTTGTTGTCCTTTTGGAAAGTGACTGGACTTAATTCTGTGAGCAGCTTTAGGGTTATGAAAAGTCGAGAGGAAGCACAGAGCTCCGAGTGCCCCTCGGTCCAGCTCTAGCCCTAACACTGAATCAGGACAGCCAGGTGCCAACGGATGCTGCTGGGAGCACAAGTCCAGTCCACCCCCGGACTCACTGGGGCAGTGCAGGGGAAAGCTGTGCAGTGGAGCTCTGGCACCATGGCGGCACCCCAGGGGGGCTCCACTGGATGGTCTCCCTCCCTGCCCCTCACCAGAAGGTCCTACAGGTGCTCTCAGGGTTCACCATCTTTCACCCACTGGTGTGCATCAGGTCACCTGGGCTGTGTGGCTTGGCAGCTCAATTCTTTTCTTCCCTCCCTCCCTCCCTCTTCCAGCGCTGGGACAAACCAGGTCTGGCGTGTGTTGGCAAGGGCTCTCCAGTGCCGCAGCCCAGTCCCATTTCTTTCCTCACTGCCTCGTGTTCCTGGCTCGGATGGACCACATTACCACTGAAGGATGTCTCAGGTGTTCCGGGTCCACCTCTCCCCTTCCCCTCCCCTTGCAACGTAGTGTAGGTGCTCTACTACAGGGCTGCATCCCCACCTTTTGTTTTTTGAGGTAGGATCTCTAATGGTTCCACTGGCATTTCCGTACAGCTGATGGGACAGAACACTTTCCTGTTGCCCAGGTGGCCTAGAACCTGCACCTCCTGCCTCAGCCTCCAAGTGGCTGGAATCACAGGTGGTGGCTGCACCCAGCTCTGAATGAAGCTGCTGTGGATGCTCATGGAGAGCACTGTGCACCCAGGTCTACAGAAGGCAGCACGACTGTGTCCACCGTGGCAGTACCTCTCAGCCAGCCCCTCCAGCAGGCCTGTGGCTGTGCCTCCACATCCATCCAGCTGGCAATCCCCGATGATGTGTGACTCTGAGCACCTATTAGCATGCCTATTTGCCATCTGCATGTCTTCTGGAGAGCTGTCTGTTCAGGAGTTCTGCCCGTTTTAAAAACTGGGTGGTTTGTTATTGTTAAGATGGTGTTCTTTGTGCATTTAGACACTAGTTCTTTAGGAGGTGACTTGCAGATACTTTCTCCTGTTTGGGGATCATTTTTCATTCCACTACAGTGTCTTAGAAAAGAGAGGTTTCTAAATCATGAGGAAGACCATCTCACCAGCTATTTCTTTGAGGACATACTTTGGTGCCCTACCACAAAGCCACTGCATAATCAAGCCCAGGGCTCCCGTGTCTTCCTATGGTGATATACTTGAGAAGCCACCACACACCCAGGCCCAAGTCTCTATTGCCTCCTTTTTGGGTTCAAGGTTTCAGTTCTCCCCTAGGGGTGTGGTCTCTCACGACCTGGCTCCTGTGGGATGGTGTCCTCCCACTGAATGCCGCTGCTCCCATCACTGCGTAGCTGGTCATCGACCACGGGGCCGGCTGCAGCCAGGAGGACCTCACCCCAGTGAGTGTGCATCCCTTGGGTGGTGCCTTTCTCTGTTCCTTCTGTCAGAGCATGTGGCATTCCTTGTGCACACTGCGTCTGTTTTGTCAGAGTTATATCTGTGAGCTTCATTTCTTTTAGTGATAATGATATTGTATACTTAATTCCATATTCCAATTGCTCCCTGGTTGGTGGTGCATTTTATTTTAAATTTCTTTTTAAAATTATCATACTCAAGATTTAAGTGTGTGTAGCTCTGTTTTGGAGATGGGTCTTGCTGTGCTGCCTGGTCTGGCCTGGAACTGCTGGGCTCCAGGGATCCTCCTGCCTCAGCCTCCTGAGCATGGAGCCTCCCCATGGAGGCTCCCCTTGGGCCCAGCACTGCATCCAGCTTCAGGTCTAGGGACTCGGACACACGTGCAAAGGCAACGATCAGTTGGTGAAATGCTGAACGCTGTCCTCCCGAGGTGGGGAACAAGGCAAAGGCATCCTTCCTCCACTCCTGGTCAGGGCAGTAAGGTAGAAGGACTGGAAACCATGCAAGTGGGTAAAGGAGCCGGGCAGCTCCCTGGCTTCCCTCAGTAGAGTGCCAGACTGATCTAAAACAGCAGAGCCTCTCTGAGAGCTAACGCTGAGCTCCACACGTTCACAGGACAACGCACCAAAACCATCTTATTGGAGCTGGTGCCGTGGCACATGCCTGTGATCTCAGTGATGTGGGAGGCTGAGGCAGGAAGATTGCAAGTTTGAGGCCAGCCTCAGCAACTTTGTGAAGCCCTGTTTCAAAATAAAAAATAAAAGGACTGGATAGAGCACTCCTGGGTTCAATCTCCAGTACCAAAAACAAATAAACAAACAAAGCACAGTTATTAGTATATATAAGCAATAAAGAGTGTGAACACTGAAATTTAAAAACCAATAGGCTCCCTGAAGAGGGGAGGGAGAATGAGAATCAGGCATAAGTAGACCAGATGTGCAGGGGATCACAGAGCCAGGAACTTCAGAATGCTGACAGAAACCAAAGTGGCCCCTGTGTGGAAAGACGCTGCGGCCCAGGACTGGGCATCTCCCCAGAGTGACCTATGAACTGACAGTTCCAGAAACCCCAGCAGGGCCTTCTGTAACGTAGACAAGACCACTCTAGAGTTTATATGCAGGGGCAGACAGAAAGGGGCACTAGAACAATTCTTTACAAAGAAGACCAGGCGGGGTGTGGCTCGGGGGTAGAGAAACTGCCTCCTATGCAGGAAGCTCTGGGCTCCACGCAGCACCACACACATACACACGTATACACATGCTATAGATGGGGGGAGAGGAAGAGGGAGGGTTTGGGAAGGGGTGAGAGAAGGGGAGGGAGAGGAGGGAGGGAGAGGGAGGGGGGAAGGAAGGGAAGGAGGTGAGGGAGGGAGAGGGGGAGAGAGGGACAGGGATAGGGATATAGATATAAATAAAAGAAGAACAGAACTGGACCCAGCCCACCACTCATGTTGACATGTTCCAAGCATTGTGGTCTGGCACAGGGACACAGTCGGAGGTCAGAGCAGAGTGAGGGAAAGACCCCACACAGGGCCACTTGCTACAGTGGTGCAAAGCAATCTGTTTAGCCAGTGGTAATGGTACATGTGGCACCCAGACCTGAACCTGAACCTCAACCTCAATCTTGACGTCACTTTTCACACAATCAACCGAATACATTACACACACGTGAAACATGAAAACACAAAGCACTTGGAAGAAAACAGAAAAATATCTTTGGGACTTGGCATTTGGCAAATAGTTTATTAGATATGACGCCAAAAGCATAGTCAAAGAATCCAAAAAAGAAAATATGGATAAATTTGACCTCACCAAGATGAAAAAAATAATTGATCTACCAAAGAGAAAGAGGAGAAAAAGATAAGCTGAAGAGCCGGCAACTTGGCCACAGGCCTTGCCACTGCAGGCCAGGCTCGGGGTGCAGCCAGTGCGGCCCAGAGGACTCAACACTGCTCACAGGGCACAGCAAACCGCACAAAGGACAGCCTCACTGTGTTCCACCAGGAGAGCCACTGTCTCACCTCCTCTAGGAAAAGCAGCTGGGCACAGGCACCCAGGGGCAGCTGCATCTTAGAGGAGGCCTCTGCCCCCACAGGACATCTGGCTGGAGTGGGGCTTGAGTAGCGGCCAGCGTGCAGAGGCCCTGATTATGCCCTGTCACTACCCAGTCACTGCTCTATGGACACAGGCCCCACTGTGTCCATAGAGTGGTGCCCCTCCGAGCTGGCGCCACTGACCTTCCTGGCACATGCTGCCCTCTGCCAGCCTGGGTGGCAATGAGCAGGAGGTCCTGAGGCTCTCGTCCCACATGCTCCGGTTCACTCCAGCACCTGGGACAACAACACCAGCACAGGGTTCTGCAAGATCTTCACACCCGTACAATGGGGCCGGCGACCCGCCAAAGGTAAGAAAAGCAGAGGTCAAGTGAGATTCCCAAGATCACACTCACCCCGGCTCCGACTGTAGCCCAGCAGCAGTCTTCCTGGCCTTCCAATGCTCGTTTCCTCAGGTTTTCAACACTGTGTTTCTGGGCAAACCGTTGAATATACAGTGGAACACGGGCCTGTCATGCCCCTGCTGGGGCCAGCACACCTTCCAGCAGCACCCCTGTTGGCAGAGCTGCTCCAAGCCAACAACCTCTGCAAACCCGATGCCCTTCGCTAGGCCACTGAAATGACCTCCATGCCAGGGCAACATGGAGCATGAGGACACAAGCCTGGAAGGACCGTGTGCTTTTGCACACGTGTGTGGTAAGCACGTGCCCTAATGCAGGCAAGGCAGGCCTGAGTGGGCTGCACACTGCAGCATCTCCTGCCACACTTACAGGCACCCAGGGATTGTTCCCAGGACCCACCCATGATGCTGCCTACCAGGCTCACTCGTCTCCAGGTGATCTGGACTGCCTGGTATAAGGTGAATGCCAGGCAGATGGCCCTCGGCCACACTGAGGGGTCAGCAAGTCTGCGTCCTCAGCTCAGGCGCAGTCTTCTCTGACGGTTCCAGCCCAGGCACAGGCAGGGCCAGCTGTTCTCCAGCAGGTCAAGGGTCTCATGCTCACAAACACCTGACGTAATAAACTTCCAGCCCAGGAGATGCGGTAGGTTTTCTTCTGCTTTTATTACAAGCATATAATATTGAGTGGCAAACACTGAGTATAAGCTCCACGGCCGTGAAGTCAAGCATCAGGAGTATTCCCCAGAGTTCAGACAGAAGCCGCCACCGAGGTACAAATCACACCAACGAAAGGATGAGCACATGAACTGCAAGCCACACATTCAGTGCCCAGGTCTGCCCCATCACCTGCCCAGGCCAGGGACACCAGCCAGTGCTGTGTCCCAGCCCTGCGTCCCCCCTGCAGCTGGGCTGAACCACTGAGGTGACGCTCCCCTGAAGCCAGGCACCTTGGGCGCTCAGCCTGTCCTTCCCACGCTGACCCCTGCCTGGTGGGCACGGGCATGGTGAGTCCACGGTGCAGTCCTAACATTGATCATTTCCAACTTGCTTATCTCCATCTGTTTCCTTGGTGTATTTCAAGATCAAGGCAGAGACACACTTGTGTTTTGAGCTAAGGTCATGTGATATGGGGAGCTGGCGTGGGTTCCTGAGGAAGCGGGGAACTGATTGTGACCTAGCTACCCGACAATGCCCCTGATGCTCTAGACACGCCGCGTGCTCACGTGTGACGGGGAGGCTGCCCACAGCACACTACAGACCGCCAAGTGACGTCTTGCGTGTTCTATTTAGAAACCAAATCAGACCCCAGGGCCACCTCGGGTGTGGCCCAGCCTGGCCACATGAACTGGGGGCCATGGGCCACCCTGCTGAACACCACTAGCAGATTTCCCACAGCCTCAGGAGCAGCGTCCTGGTGACAGCAACCAAGAGGAATAGCCAGACGGCTGCATGCGTGTGTTTTGGGATCCCATCTGCCCTCCCTTCTCCTGCAGCAAAACCGAGCTGCCATGGTCTGCATGCGGCTCCTGGAGGCACGCTGGGCCTATCGAACAGAAGCAGGTGAATGCACGTCACCTTGCGAAACACAGGTGTGACGCTACGCAGAGCAGAAGCTCCAGACACCTTGAGTTCATCCCACACGCCAGCAAGTAAAGCTGGACACCGAAGCTGGAGGAGGGATGGGAAATAGGATAGAAGGCTTAAAGTAGAATAAATAATTTTATAAAGTTTTCTTTAACCCACCCCCCCCGCATTTTAAATCCAATATTATATATTCTATCTGAGTCTTACACTCCTGTGAACAGGGCACCTAGTGGACCACGTGTGGGAGGTGGGTGCCAGTCTGTCCAAGTGGCCCCGCGAGCCACCTCACTGCGCTCGCTGCATGAGCACGCCATGAGAAACCGCCCCGCAGGCTCCTTCAGCCAGGAGGCTCTGCAAGGTGTGCTAACTGGCCCTGGTGGTCATGCTGGAACACGGGCGGCCTGGAGTCAGACAAGCTCCCTCAGGCCTGCAGGCGAGGCAGGCTCGTCAGCTCCAGGCTCTGACTAGGTAAGGCTACGCATCAGACCAAGGGCGAAGGGCACTGGCCGTCCTGCAGAGAAGACAGCCACGCGATGGAATCTTAGAAAAATAGGTACTTTTGCTGCTGAGGTTTGGTCAAGTTACTGCAGCGACAGGAGCAGGGCTGCTGGCCGCGGCGTCCACCATGCTGCGGCAGAGCTCTCAACTTAGCACCATAGCACGTCCCGGGACTCCACGGCATCCGCAGGCCACACACACACCAGAAGGCTGCACAGTGGGGTTCATTCTTGTGTGAACCAGCTCGATTCGAATCTGGAGGCTCACGTGTCAAACCTCTCTTTAGTTTCACCACACAGGACGTACCTACATTCTAACGTCACACTTAGAAGTGCTCTGTGACAACGTGGCTCTGTGGGAGGCTTCAGCAGTACGTGTTTTGAGGTAGACAGGTAATGCTTGCTCATAAATCCTTGTAGAGCAACCCTAGAGACCATGTGCTGAACAGCAAGCCTGGAGCACTAACTCTCATGGCCCTGGCTTATTCGAGGAGGTGGGCTCTGACCAGCCCCTCACAGCACGTGTCTGCTTCAGAAGGACCAGGAACTGGACCAGCTACTCCGATGCTTCCTTGCCCCTCACACTAGGTCTCACGGCTGCTGCTTCCGACATTCTGTGTAAGTGAAGCAGGAAGCAGAAGAAAATAAGCAGAGCTGGATGCTGACAGCCCACCACAGCTTTCCAAGCAAATCCCAGGAAAACCCCAGGCCTTGGTGAGGCCTCCTGGTGACCTGGCCTCAGACCGAGACTCCCATTTACCCAACAAGAACTGGTGGGCAGCACCTGGCAGGGACCATGGGGTCAGGGTAATGCTTGCCCTGCAGGGTCGAGAGAGGGGTCCCAAAGCTCCCCAGAAACACCAGGACTCCTATGCTGGAGCTCCAGGACCGCCCCCCTGCCGTGGGTGGGGGTCTGCGTGTACTTGCTGGCAGAACTCATCCTCTAACTCAACAGCAACGCGATACTGGGGAGCAGGGCGGGCTGGCACAAAGCACCCTGCCTGTGACCAGGGAAAGATGTGCTGGGGGAGCTGCTTCCCCTGGGCCTGCCCACCCCAACCCAGCACCTTCCTGGGACAAGGGTGGGAAAGCACAGTGGCCTCCATCTACAGGAGGGAGAACCCTGCTGGTCTTGCTTGGAGGCACCCAGCACCAGCACCCCAACCCCACACTGGTCTGACAAGCCCCTGCCCAACACTCTTCCTTAGCACAGAAACGGGGAGGACAATGTAGGAAACTAAATGATGGCACCAAACAATCTGTGCCCTTTTTAATAAATGAGATTTTTAAAAACAAGAAGGGTCTTTAGGCCCGTGCTGAGCGGGCTGAGCCACCTCTGGTCTGCCAGCCGGTGCGCCAGAGCCATGCTGGGAGCCTGGGTGGCACGGGCCCTCCAGCCCCACACGTGCACCTGGACGCATGCCTGGACTGTGCTGCCCGAGGCGGGGTGGACACTAGTGCCCACTCAGTACCAACGCAAGCCTCTTTTGGTATGCTTTAAATTAAATCTTTATATATCTTCTAAGTCTTCAGGAAGCTAAAGGCAACATAAATATTTACCATGAAAAGACTTTTTCAATAACTTAGGAAGGACTCAATAAAAGTACGGCATTTTTGAGGCTTATTAAGAAACCGATCCGTGAACTAAACTGAAATGAACTCAGATTCTCGAGACCTGGAAAGCGAGCGGAGGTCTGTGGGATGGTGACCTGGAGCCTCGTGCCGCGCCTGCCGGCCGAGGGCCTGCGGTGGGTAAGCACGTGCGGCTGCGCAGAACTGCAAGTGTTTTCATCCTCTGTAAACACGTGCTGGTAGTGTCTTGTAGGGTGTGGATTCTCTTGTACAAAAGTTATAAATATTCTCTATTCAGAAGTCTGGTCCACCCGGCACCCAGAAGCAAGTTCTGTTGCGGGTGCTGCGCATGGCTGTGTGGCCCCTGGGACACAGGGCCAGTCTGAAGAGCCAGGCTCACAGCAAGTCCATCTTGGGTCTGTAGTGCAGCAGGAGGGGGGCCTTCTGTAAGACAAAGTCATGGCGCTCAGTAGGCCACCAGGGTCAGTGGACACGCCACCTCCTAGGAAGGCAGGAGCCATGCCCCATGCTAAAAGACCCACAGTGCCACCCTCGACTCCCCTGGTCCAGGGCCATGCAGGGCTGCTGGGGACTGAGCCCCACGCCCTTGGTCCAGGTAATCCAGAGACCACCTGTGCGCTGCTCAGCTCCTGTGCCAGCCCCTCCACCTGCTGCCCCTGCCATCTGTGCCGGCTGTGGTCTGTCTTGCTCCAGGTCTCACCCCTTTGGCCACGGGAGCCCTGACCTCATTCAGCCCAGTCACCTCCTGCCCTTTCTGCCCAGGATGGGGGTTCCACTATGTATGGTTCCCTGCTTCAGTAAGCCACCAAAGGTTTGCAGGTTTGCTGAGCACAATGGTCACTGCCTGCTGCCCCAACAAGGAGCGGGAGGCTGAGGACCCCCTCCCGAGGAGGCCCAGCCAGGGTGAGAGCCCAGGAAGACGAGAGCTGCATGGTGGGTTCTCAGGGCAGTGAGCACCATGGAGCACACAGGCACAAGCTCACCTTGAACCTCCACCGTGTGACCACCACGAACTTGAGGGTGTGGTCCTTGCCCAGGATCTCCTCGTTGCACAAGATGTCCAGCTGGTGGAAGAGGGGCTTGCATTAGGGACATGCTGGCTTGTGGCTAAGGCCCCACTGACCTGCATGGAGACCCATGACATTGCCAGCAGGAGAGAACATACTCCCGGGCATCTGTGATGTCCCCTGAGCACCGCAGAAGGGCGTGACTCCCTTGTCCACCTACTCCTGCCCCACAGGAATGGAAACTGGAGCAAGCACAAGGTGAGGTGTCAACTGCTCCTGAGGGGCAGCCTCCCTACACAGGCCCAGGGCTCAGCCACAGGGGGCCTGTGGACAAGGCCTGGCCACTCTAGCCCCAAAGCTGCACATGCTGTATCCTGCTCAGACTCACAGCTTCTTGGGTGAGCCCTGGAGGGCTCGTGCTGTCCTATCTATGTACTATCTATGTCCCTGCCTCCATTCCCTGAGGAGCAGGACATGTGTCCACTCCTGAGCAGACAGCCTCAAGAACCTGGAAGGTCAGAAGCAGTTTGGTCAGCAGCAACGATGGCACCAAGGTACCTGGACAGTGCAGGTGGGAGGGAAACTGAGAGGTCCAGTGGAGACTCAGTGCACACCTGTAATGGCCTTGTCCACCACATTACCAGCCAGGCTGCTTCCACAGAGGTGCCCTGCCCATCGGCCCCCTCCCCACCGTCCTGGCCCCCACTGCAGTGAAGAAAAAGGGCTCCCAGGCTTTTCTTACTATACACAGACTATTTTTGGAGCCACTTTAGGTCCCACATCACGCTGATTGGCAGAAGAGCTCCTGCCGGGCCCACCCAGCCCCAACACCCAGGTCCACACCCCAGGGTGCCTTTGTTTGGTGCGTGAACCTGCACCCACACAACAGGGCCTGTCTGTAAAGCCGCTCAGCGGCTGCTCAGCATCCACTTGACAGGGCTCTGGGGTGCTCCTGGTTCAGAGGCTTGCAGCTGGCACTCTCTCCCGTGTTTTCTATAGCATGTCTCCGACTGCATGCAGTGGTGATCCAGGGGGCATGCCAATGGCTCTGCTTTCATACACCCTGTGCTATGCAGAGCAGTGGCTGCTGTGCCCTGCGAGGCAGGGTGTCACCTGTGACGTGTCCTGCGCCTCTTGTCCTCTCACACAGGCTCCTCTGTCATGTGAAAGTGGCTAGAGAGCAGACTGTGGGATCCCGGAGCTCTGGGACCACAGCAGACACCCCAACACCTCTTGCCACTCCCAAGGACAGCTCTCTGTGCCAGGGAGAGAGGCTTACCCAGGACCACTCCCCTCCAGGGTGTACTCGTGCTCCCTCTAACAAGCTCTGCCTCCTCTTACACAGAACCCCAAGTCCCCTCACCCCTTCCAGGCCAGCTACCAGTGGGGCTGCTGTTCAGCACAGTAATGCAAGCCAAGCCACAGCCCTTCCCTGTTTTCTCCTCTGCTTTCTTCCCAACACAAGCTGCATCTGGACTTGGTTTCTCTGGGCTCCAGGTGGCTGGCATGTGTAGTGTGTCCTACGGGGCTGTGCTGGGCCAGGACTGGGTCCCTTCCTGGCCTCCTGAGACTTGGCTTTGTGGCCCTGCAGAGGCCCTTGGGGCCTCTCACATGGCCTCTGTGGCTGTGTGCAGAAGCAGACTGGGAAATCAGCAAGGAGCAGGGGCCTTCTACAAGCAGGGCTGCAACTGCTGAGGGCCTCTAGGCTACATCCTCACAGGCCCCAAGAGCAGCAGACAGCAGGAGAGCAGTAAGCCTGTCCTGACACCTGAGCCACCCTGGGGTCAAGTCCCGACCCGGGGCTGAGGGACTGAGAGGACTCCATGAGTCTGTCTCACCTTCTACCGCCTCATTCCCATACAGGGCTCTTTTGTTATTAGATTTAGGGTCCAGAAGATAATCTAGGATTATTTCATTTCAAGATCACTAACATGATTATGTCCACAAAGACCTGATTTCCAAATAAAGTGCGTCCGCAGGTTCTGGCTAGGCCGTGGTTCACCTGCCAGGCCATGTCCACACACTGCTCTCCTCAGCACACCTCGTGTCAGCCACCTGGGTCCTACACAACACCTTGACCTTTCTCTCTCACAGCTCTTACCACTGGCCTCTCCTGCCCCTGTGTCTGTGCCCCAGAGCTCACTTGTCACCCAGCCCGAGGGGCCTATAATGCTATATCACCAGTCATGGAGCCTGGCCTGGGCCCAGAAGAACTGGCTCCTGCTGGCCATCTACACCTCCATGTGAGGGCCATGGTTGCTGTGGTGACGCACTCTCTTCCACAGCCCCCGATGCCCAGGCTCTGGGTCAGACAAGTTGCACTACTGTTACAACCTCAAAGCTGGCAGCCACCCACCCACTTCACCCACCCATCCTGACCATCCACGCAGGAGGCAAACTGCAGGAGCAGGACTGCTCCTCAGGACAAGTCTCCAGCCTACTCCAAGCACCCTCTCTTCCCACAGCCTCTGTTGCTTTTCCTGTGGACGACCTGGCGGGGCAGGAAAAACCAGCAGGAACTTTGTTGTTATTAAAATTTCCAAAGTTGTGGGGAAAAAACAACAACAACAACAAAGAACTTGAGAAGGATCTCTCACGAGTGGGGAGCGACGCCTGTCTCCTCTGCTCACAGAGGAGCAGTTACCTCGTTGAAGGAGGAGAGGTTTAGCTTCTTGGCGATGAACTTCTTCAGGTGTAGGACCGTGGCCTGCGCTGAGCAGCGGATCCATTTCCGCTTCAGACCCCGCAGTTTGCTGCTGTTGCATTCCAGGCAGATGCTCACCTGGGGACAGAGGGCCATGTCAGCAGTCAGTTGTCAGCAGGTCTCTGATCTGCAGGCCTCCACTGACGGCCCTGCCTTAAGGCTAGGAGCCGGGCCTCTAAAGTCAGAAGCTGCTTTTCTCCATCGCTGCAGTTCTCCTTCAGGTATCTGGACAGTCTCCTCAGACTGCCTGCTGTCACCCTGCCCTCTGCAGTCAGCCCGCCCATCCTGCCTTTGGCAAACAGATGCCCTGAGGGAGCCTTGGCAGAACCCTGGCAGGGTGGCTGGAGCATTCAGAGAAGCTCGGAGGGACGTGGCATTAGGTGTGGCCTTGAGGATGAGGCAGACATGGAGACCAGTGTGGCCTTGGGGAAAGGCAGTCCCTAGCAGAACCGCAATGTGGTTGTGCAGTTCTCTGGAGGAGCAGCAGCCTCCAACTGTCAGGGCAGGGGTACCACAGGATTCTAGTGCTGTGAGCCACCCACCCACTTCACCCACCCATCCTGGCCACCCACAAGGCAAAGGCAATCTCCCAGGACTGCTGCGGAAGCCTACCACCTCAGGAGGTGGGAACAGAGTACCTGGAGAACACCGAGGCCCCTTAAAATTCAGATACAAGAATCAACTGACACATGATGTCTAAAGTGGTAAGAGATGCAAAAGGGAGAGTTACAAGTGTGAGATGCAGGCACACCATCAACTAGCAAACATGAAGCTAGAACCCAACAGCGGCTGGCCATGGTCCATCTCAGTGTGGAGGGTTAACCTCCGAGAGATCTCTAGAGGAAGCTAACTACAAGAGGCACAGAGACACGCACCAGTTGAAGTAGGGAAGGAAGCAGAGCACCAACAGAGGTGAGCTGGAGGGACAGCCATGTCCAGCCAGTGTGTAGGAGCTGTGGGGCTGGGGCAGGGCCCCACATGGGAACACTGGACAGGAGTCCTAAATGGTGAGGCACAGTGGACCTCAAGTCAGGAAGAAACAGAACCAAGCAGATAAATAACCGAGAGTGTCAGGATGGTGGCACCCCTATCATCCCAGTGACTCTGGAGGTTGAGGCACAGAATCAAAAGTTCCAGCCTCAGCAACTTAGTGAGACCCTGGTCTTGAAATAAAAAAATGCTTTAAATAGGGCTGAGGGTGACCCTAGTAGAGCACTGTGGGTTCAATCCCAGTAAAAAAACAAGACAAAACCAGCAAAGAGAATGAAGCAAAGTCAGCAGCAAGCAATTGTGAAAAGTGGAGCTCAGGGGGAAAGACCCTGGGGAGGAAGAGAGATGAAGGAGGAAGAAAGAGAGGGTCCAGACAGGCAGGTGGGCAGGTGCAGAGCGATGCTAACCCTGGACCTTCAGCATGCAGACGTTTGTTCACTTGAATGATCTGTGGCCACTAGACGAGCTGAAGCAGAACTTGGACAACCTGCAAGCGAGTGGCAGCAAACAGATTACAGAAAATTTAGCAATTCTGTCACCAACAGCACCTGGTGCCAGAAAGGGGAACAGAGAAACACGGGGCTGTAGAGTGGCAGAGACCTGCTCATACTCACCTGTGGTCATGGGGAAGCAAAGCTACTTTGGAAAACTTCTGATTTGGTTTAAAAATCCCTAGCAGATAGCTACAGAAAGCATCACAGTTGTTTAAAAACTAACTCCAGGCACATGTCAACCAAAACAAAACTGGAGAAACATCTGAATCTGTGTGCACCAGGAGCTGAGCCACAGTGACAGCTTGGAAGCACCCCCCTGTGGACACCCTTGGGGTGGACACCCACTGGCACAACTCAGCGCAAGGGCCACTGCCCTTGCAGGTGTGTGCTGGCCATGTGTGGCGCTGGTTGAGGGGCCACGTGTGCTCAGGAGGGGACTGATCACAGACGGCTGACCCCAGGTTGGGTGTGGCCCAAGTGCAGTGGCAGGCACAAGGCACCCTTCACGGTGTGGGGTCTGAGCCAGACCAAGACACGGGTCTGCTGGGCCCAGCTGCCTGCTCCAGCCAGGGTTCTGGTGAGGAAGCTAGCCTTGTGCCCAGCCTGAGCTCAGCTCTGTGGAAGACAGAAGGCAGGCAGGGCCTACTGACGGCCACATCAGGAGTCCTCCCCTGCCAGGGGCTGCTGCCCAGACCCTGAGGCATGTGGGTGTGCAGAGGCCACTGGGGCAGAGTGTGCTTGGCTGTAGGATGAGTTCAGCGAGGACTTGGCTTTACAGCAGTGTCCCCAGCCATTTCAGAGCACCCAGCAGAGGCAGTGGCAGGATCAGAAGCAGTGCACAGTCATCGGCCAGGCTGGTCTCATCTGCTCATACCCAAGTCCATCAGAGCTGCACATAGAAACCTTCCCCAGGCTTCCTGCACAGCCCTGTCGAAGGCAGACCCCTGCCAGGCGGCCTCAAGGCTCACCAACCATAGAGGCCCAAGGACGAGCACTCCTCTCTTAGAACTCTGCCTTTTCCCAACAAGAATCTACAGACACTCGGATTCTCTCTGGTAAAGGTTCCAAGGACTTGCTGAGGAAAGCCGGCAGCTGGTTCCCAAGGCCATTCAGAGGAGCAAAGCGCCAGTTACTCAAGACAATCTTTCTCTTTCCTTTTTTTTTCCCTTTGGCATGAAGCCCAGGGGCACTTAACCACTGAGCCACATCCCAAAGCTTCTTATTTTTTTTCATTTAGAGACAGGGTCTTGCTAAGTTGCTTAAGGCCTGGCTGATTACTGGAATGACAGGGTGCACCACCACCTCACCTGCTTCTCAAGATGATCTTGGGAACTGTCCTACTATATCACAGCTCAGGTAAATAGTTCAATAATGAGGCGGGGAGGGTTACGTGGGGCTTGCTGGACAGAACAGACCAGTGTGGTTTGCAGGTCTCCTGGTAGATACTCCTGTAGCAAATGGTGGTGAATGTACCGGTCGACTCATGATGGCCAACTGCACCTCCTTCCACACAGCCAGCTGTGGGGGTTATAGCCTGACCACAAAAAGCCAGCTTTACACTGGAGAAAAGAGCCTTTTTAACAAATGATGCTGGGAAAACTAGTTACCCATATGTAGAAGGAGACTAGATCCTTATTTCTCGCCTTGCACAAAAATCAACTAAAAAATGGATCAAAGACCTCTGAATTAGCTGGGCACAGTGGTCACACCTGTAATCCTAGTGGCTTGGGAGGTTGAGGCGGGAGAATCATAAGTTCAAAGCCAGCCTCAGCAAAAGTGAGATGGTAAGCAACTCAGTGAGATCCTGCCTCTAAATAAATACAAAATAGGTCTGGGGATGTGGCTCAGTGGCCAAGTGTCCCTGAGTACCAAAATCCCTGGTACCCAAAACACAAAACAAACAAAACCAAAAAATAACAAAAACAACCCAGAAACTAAGCAACTCCTAGAAGAAAATAGGGTCAACACTCCAGCTTTTAGGTACAGGCAATGGCTTTCTTGGTAGGACCCCTAAAGCTTAGCCAATAATTCCAAGAGTTGATAAATGGGACAGCAACAAATTAAAAAGCATCTACACAGCAAAGGAAACAACTAGGAATCTGAAGAGAGAACCCACAGAATAGGAGAAAATCTTTGCTAGCTACTGTTCTTACAGAGTATTAACATCCAGAATATATAAAGAACTCAAAAAAGTCACCACCAAAACAATGAATAACCCAATCAATAACAAATGGGCAAATGAACTCAACAGACACTTCTCAAAAGAAGAAATACAAATGGCCAACAGGTACATAAAAAAATGTTCAACATCGTTAGAAATTAGGGAAATGCAAATCAAACTACCCTGAGATTTCACATCATACCAGTCAGAGTGGCAGTCATCAAAGATACAAACAACAATGCTGAAGAGGATGTGGAGGATGTTGGTGGGACAACCACTGAGGAAATCAGTGTGGAGGTTCCTCAGAAGACTTGGCATGGAACCACCATGACCCAGCTAGACCTCCTTGGTATTACAGTCATCTTACTGCAGTGACACATGCACACTCATGTTTACAGTAGCATGATTCACAGTAGCCAAACTATGGAATCAGCCTAGGTGTCCATTAGCTGATGAATGGATATAGAAAATGTGGTAAAAATACACAAAATAGTTTTATTCAGCAATAAAGAAAATGGAATCATGGCACATTCAGGAAAATGAATGGAAGTAGAGACCATCATTAAGTGACATAGCCAAACTCAGAAGGCTAAGGGTTGTGTGTTTTCTCTCATGTGCTGAAGCTAGAGAAGCAAAAGGAAAACAGAAGTGGGGTAGATTTCATGAAAATCAAGGGGCGATCAGTAGAGAAGAGGGATCAGGAGATGGAAGGTGGGGAGGGAGGGGAAAGTGCTGGGGAGTGAGACTGGCCAAATCATATTGTTATATTGTGTATTGTGTGCATGTACAACTTTGTAACAACAAATCCTGTCAATATGTACAACAGTGATACACCAGGAAAAAATGTGGGAGAAAAAAGCAAAACTTTAAAATGGGCTGGCAAGAGAGCACACAGCATAGGACATGGGGCACCCATGGCACCTTCAGGGCAGATCCCCCACTGCAGGGCAGGCCACACAACACGCAGCAGGCAAGAACACACAGGAGCACAAGACCAGTGAAGGCACCTGTGGGAAGTGAGCAGAGGGCAGCAGGCTCTAAAAGTGCTGTGGTCTGCATGTGCGGTGCCCAGAGCTCCTCCCAGACATGCTAGAGCATCCACAGATGAACAGCTGGACCACGACTGGGCTGAGTGGGCGGGGACTGCAGGCAGGGGTGTCATGGCTAGGTGTCTCTGGGGCAGGCCCCACAGCACTGCCTTTCCAGGGGCCCTGTCCCTTCCCACTGCTGCCTGGCCACCGAGAATGGAGCCACCACCATGTCTGTCTGCCAAGAGGTGCTGCCTCATCTCAGACCAGAGCCCTGGAGTCGCCCAACCCAGAACCAGACCGAGCTTCTGGAACCATGAGTCCAGATCGACTTTTCCACCTCCAAGGTGTTCTTGGGTATTTGGATCACAGTAACTAACGCTGAAATAAAACATGCATTGTCAAGCATAAGGGCACAGCAGACAGGACTTTTCAAATTAGAGTTGAGAAAACCAGTGTGTGTGTGTGTGTGTGCGTGTGCGCACAACAGGGCCTGCTCTCATGCACACAAGGCCACCTGAGCATGGAGTTCCAGGCACTGCGTGCGGCAGCAAAGATCAGTAGGTCAACAGTGGAAAAAACTTGAGCTGCAAAGTGTAAGTCAAATAGAGCAGAACACTAGGTACAATCCTCCACCACCTATAGCACTAGGTCCAGGCGCAAGACCACATGGTCCAGGCGCAGGGCTGAGTCCCAGGGAGCAGAGGGGCTGCCCCCAGACCAGGGGGACAGGGCTAGGAGACAGGGCCTCATTTGAGCAACCCTCTAAGCCACCTTCAGATGGTGACTGACACTCACAGACTCAGGACCAGACAGCAGCATGGGCTGGGGCCACACCACCAAGGTGACCTCTGCTCTAGGGCTTGGGCTGCAGTTAGAGCTGCCTTCATCATACCCAGGGCACCCGCAGCCCTGTCCCTGCTTCTGGCAAGGCCCACCAAGTGTCATTAAAGTGCAGACGTGGATAAAGAAACATCAAAGGTCCCTGTGCTCTGCCCCAGCCACATTTCAGCCAAGCTGTGTTCTGCTGTGGCCAGCCCAACCCTACCTCTGCAAAGGTCCTGACCTGAGTTGGCAGGAGTGTGCCCTGGGGTGTACCTGGCAGCTGGTTACTACCTCCCAGCTGCTGGGACCACAATACAGGGCAGCTGGGGACTGCCCCTCACAGCTCCTTTCCATCTAGGGACGTTGAGCGAGCCTTTTTGGCTATGGACAGTTCCCTGCAACTACCCGTTCCCACATGCTGAGCTCATCACCCTGGAGCAAGATCAATTCTAAGCATTTGCAGGTGACTGCGTGAGGCTTTGAGAAAGCTGCCAGGGGTGGGCACCAAGGCCCATGTCGCTCTCCCACATGTCCTGGTTCTCTCCCCAGCATGGCCAGGGTCTCCAGACCCACTGAGCAGCAGCTCACAACAGTCCCTGGCCCTTGTTTGAGTCAGACAAGGCTCTGCTTCACCATGAAGCAGGAAGACTGCTGGAGTTTGCAGAGGACGATGCATGTTAGGGAGGGCTGGCAGCAGGATGTGAAGGCTCCCTGGTTGCCTGGTCATGTGGGAGTAGCCCAGTCCCTCTTACTGCCCACAGGTGCTCCTCACAGCACAGAGCGTCTGGGAGGAGGAACCTGAGGGGACTGTCATGTTTAGGTCTGGAATGTATAATGGACAGCACATACGTGTGTCTGGTAGTACACCAAAGGGAAGAAAGAACAGCCGGCACGGCGCTGGGAGACTCGTGGGGCCCACCTGCTCGTCACTCCGGTGGTAGTCGTCATCCTCCTCCTGCTTCTCCTCTGTGGTGGCTTTGTGTGAACTGTCGTCTGCTTTGGTCTCACCTGTCACACAAAGAGGAAACACTGAGAGTTGGGGATTCCCTCCACTGAAATGCAGAGGCCCTGAATCCCAAGCCACTGAGCAGTGGTGGGAACCCAGGGGTGCTAACTGCATTGAGAAGGCCTGATGCCATGCTCTTCTCAACCCTGAAGCACAAAGTGCCACCAACAGTCTCTCTCTGAGACTGGCCACAAGAGCCCAGTGGAACTCAAGCCTGTGCAAAGGTCTGCCAAGACCAGGTGCCCCAGGCTGCAGGGCTCCTGAGGCTGCCCGAGGCTTGGGGAGCCGGTCTGAGAGCACAGAGATAACTGAGCAGTGGGCAGCAGGACCAGCGCCAGGCTCCCACAGCACCTGGCTCCAGAGCCTGCCCCAGAACCCCAACAGGGTTAGGGCCAGACTCCGGCCACCTCCCCGGCCTGGGATGACTCCTGAGAACCGGGTGGCTGGCTCTCCACATGGCGGTGGCCAGGGTCCTCCCCCGTCTACACATCGTCAGGTGTACTCAGGGTGGTCCAGAGATTTCTCAGGAACTTGTGTGGTCCACCAGAAAAATACCAGGCCTCAAAGATTTGAACAATGTTCAATATGCAGAGACTATAAGGTGCCATCGACTTCATACCCAAACCAAATGTTATCTTGCCATTTTATGGTAAGACAGCACAGTCCAACCTTAGGAAGCTCACCTCCCTCACCTTCTTCTTCCTTAGGCCCTCTGCCCTTTGACCATGACCTCCAGGCACGTTCTGGTGTCTCTGGCTCTCTGACCCACACCCCATGCCCGCCCAGCACCCCTAAGGGCTGCCTCATGGGTGGTGAAGCCACCTAGAGCTGCACCAGAGGCCTGACGGAGCCCAGGCATATGCAGCCACGGAGCCACTCACCATTGCGGGGATCCAAGTGCTGTCTTGCGGAGCACGCCTCCCCCTTGATGTCGCCCGGCACCTCCAGGCCCAGCTTGTGGTAGAACTCCCTCTGCTTCCTCATTTCCGCTATTAAAAGTTAACAGACAGCCTTCAGTCTTCAATAGGAAGGGATTCAGCAAGACTGCACAGATGCCACAGAAGGAATGCAGATTCGGGTTATGAATCCTGAAGACTGCTATTGCCAAGAAAGCAGCAGGCGAGGCAAGAGCTCCTGGTCAACGCAGCACTGTGGGACCATGCAGCGGCGCACAGGAACCAGGGCGAGGCCCTACCACACAAGAACCTGGCGAGTGGAGAGGCTCCCTAGCCCTGTGACCCGACCCCCTCCGCTGCCCACAACATCATGGAGTGGCCCCACAGAGTGCCGGGGTGTAACAGAGGGAGCTTTGGTGATCCTTGGGTGTCACCACTGTGCATAAACAGCTCAGCGATCCAGATGTGCTGTCTGGTGCCCATGGCCATTTTACCACAGGCAGTGCAGGAGTGCTCTCACGGGCCGAGGGTGGGCTTGCCAGTAGGAAAAGGACCAGGGCAACAGTGCCTGAACCTCCTGGGTACTGACAGTGTCCACCCGGCACTGGGCCAAGAGTGCCCCCTGGTGTCAGCATCCAGCAGCAGAACAGGGCAAAAATGGAGGAAACACTCCCCAGAGAGAAACTCCCCCTGAAGACAGGCAGAAAGTCCCTTCCATCCTTCTACCTCTGCCACATCTGCCAGACTGCTGGCTGACAGGGCAACTCCGCCTGCCCCAAGGCAGGCAGCATGCAGCTCCTGCTGGCTGGGTGTATGGAGGGCCTGAACACAGCTGCCAACCTGCACCCTCACTGGACAGCAGGCCAGCCTGGCACCTTTATTCCAGGGAACCATCAGTTCCCTGCTACTGAGTGACTCTTAGCTAGTGCTCCACCCATGTGACTAATGCTCAGACCTCAGGAAAGAAGCAAGAGGCTGGACACCACTCAGGACACACAGGTAGCAAGAAAATTTAAGGGAGTTGCTCGATGACGGCCCTATTAAGCATCTCTGTGATAACTAATTTGTGTAGCTGACACAAAAGTCCTTTATTGAATTTTTTACCTGATATCTGTTTTTCCCTACAGACAACGAGCCCCAAGACCACCTGGGCAGAGTCCTGGCTGTGTCCAGCCCTAAACAGCTGCTCTGAAAATGCCCAAGTGTGCAGAAAGGAAGACGTATAGGCTGAGCACTGCAGGAGCCACGGGCATTGCTAGAGGTGAGAGGCATGTGCACTCTAGCCTGAGAGCCAGCAGGGTCAGCTCAGAAAGGGGTGTCCCCCCACTGTACAAAAGCAGCCCAGACGGAGGCACGGCACCCTGTGCATGACATGGGACAGCATGGCAAGCCCACAGGACATGGGGACATGAGGCAAAGCAACTTGGGTTGGACACCTTGGCTCATGTTGTTTCTTTACTTCTTACCCATGAGGACACAAAAGAATAAAAATAAGGGCCCCAATGCCATGTCTCTACACACTGAAACATTAAATGGGGATTGTTTTTGGTGTCATGTGCCTAAAATACTTTACACTTTAACAATGACATGAAAATCCTACCATTAGCCATCTATTCCCAAAGAACCAGGTAATGCATGAGGAGATCAGAATCTAGCTATCTGCTGAGTCCTGTTTGTAACGCTGTAAGATTGGAACTGCTTTAATGCCATGGGTCCCACCGCGGGGCTGGCCCTCCAGACAATCCTCAGCAGCACACAGTGCCTAAGCCTTCATGGCTGCTCCTACAGAAGCTGAAGCACTGGCCAGTCACAGCAAGGCAACCCCACGCACATGCCGCCCTAGGATGAGCAGCCATTCACCCAGGGGAACCTCTGTCACAGTCGGACAGAGATCACATCTGCTACAAAGGAGCACACGCCACAACACACATGTGCCATGACACGCAGACTTAGACTCCATCTGCAAGATGCCCCTTAAGGAACGGAAAAGGAAGCAGCAATATTGAGACCCACAGCCACTCCTAGGAAAGCCATCGGCCACCTGGGCCAGTCTGACAGAGGTGTCCCTGGGCCCATGGTGGGAGCCAACCTGGGGGTGGGAGGCTGAGCCCGCAGACCAGGGCAAGCCCTGCTCGGCATGTGCGCCAGCCTGTTGTACATCACTCAGGGCAGGAGCTCTCCCTGTAGAGGGCAGAAGGACAGAGGGCAGAACTGAGGCTCTGCACAGCCCAGTTAACAGGTGAGAAACAAATCCCCAAAAATTTTTATTGAAGAAATTCAAAATACAGTGATAGCCACCAAGGGCAGTTTTCCAGAGTGAGGATGGAGCCCCTGTGGGGCGACACTATTCGCCTGGCATCAGGGCTCACATACATGTCCCCATGCTCGTCTGCCACGAGGCCTGCGTGTCTCACTTGAGGTCCCCACACAGGCTTGTGCTGTGAACCTCTCCAGTGTGCAATGAGGCAAGCTCAGAGGCCTGCTCCGTGCTGGCCTTTCACCACACCCAGAGCCGCGGGCGTGGTCCTCCAGCTGAGGCCGGGTGCAAGCCCCTCTACCATGTGGCTGACTTCCTCTGGACTTGTGTCTAGGCCCCAGACGGTGCTGCACCAGGAAGCACAGCTGCGGCAAGTCTGGACAACGAGGTCCTGCCTCTGTGGTGTGGACCAGCAACCCCCAAAGGCCCAGTGCTCGAGGCTTGGTCTCCACATCGGCCCTTTAGGGAGTGGTAGAGAAGAGGCCGAACCTAGCGGGAGACCCTCTGAAGGGACCGATGTGGGGCCGCAGTGCTCGCAGGCCTGGGGTGAGCAGCTCTGCTCTGGTCACACTCTTGTCAGGTTGTGCCACTTCTCCAGAGGCCTGAAGCAACAGGCCAATTGGCCACAGACTGGAACCTTCAAAACTGAGCCAAACCAGCACTTTCTCTTTGTGGGCCGACTGTCTCGGCACTCTGTGAGGGCGAGGGAAAGCTGAGGCAGGAGCGCATGCCAAGGTCCCCCCCACACACGAGGTCCTGCACTCTGGGGTGAGTGTGGCTTTGCCCTGTGGCACCAGGATGGGCAGGAAGAAACAGTAGGTCTGAAGTGAGAGGCTTCCAAAGTCACTCAGGGTCTGGTGGCACTGAGCAGAGAGAACTTCGGCCCTTAGATCAGAACAAAACCAAAGACCCAGATGGCTGCTTCCAAGTTGCTGGAATCCGTGTGGCCGTGTGGCTGACGGGTGTGGCAAATGCGGCTCCTGCCAGCAGACAGGCCAGTCAGGCCTCACTTCAGCCTCACCGTCGCTTCCCACTTCCACGAGGTGGTTCTGCCTGCTAAGCAGGTCTGTTCTACGTGCTCTCAGGAGGGCAGTCAGTTGTGGGCCCGCTTTTCTCCTTCCCCAGCTTGGACATTCTGGGTGGCATGATGACAGAAAGCTTGACCAGCACTGGTACAGGTGCTCGAAGGCTCTCACTCTGCAGGCATGATGCTGAGATGTGCAGAGTGCTGCCTGCAGCTCAGAGCAACGAGCGCACGACCCTTGGCTTGCAGCAGCCACTGGGAGGGAGGCAGACCAGAAGCCAGGCATGGGCTGCCGGATGCCAGCACCTGTGCCAGCCAGTGCAGCAGGGCATGAGATAAAACGACACGCAGGCACCATGTCCCCAGCAGCTCCATGGCCACAAGGGACCATTCAGAGCAGAGGAAGAGGGGCAGGGAGGTCTGCTGCTGAGTGTGTGAAAATCCTCCAGGCCCTAGGCATGAGGGGAGGGAAAGCAGGAAGGTGGCCTCAGGTGTGAAAGAGGCAACCCAGTTAGCTCAGAGTACAGGTCTTGCCAGGGGGAGGCAGGTTTAAATACCACAGAGCCAAAAAGAAACAGCTGGCAACTAAATGGATTCCGGCCTCTCACAAGCAAAGCAAGAGGAGAACCCAGGAGCTGTCCCAGGGACACAGATGCCACACTCCGCGATCCCAGGTGTGACTCATGGGTACAAGGCCCTGCTTACTTGGAGACTTTGGCCTGAGAATGAGGTTTACGAACACTGGCACAACCAAGGAAGCCAGATGACCTGCAGCCTACCTCCACCAAAAAGGAAGTGAGCTGCTGCGTCAGGGTGAGACTCACCCGAGGACCACCTTGACAGAGTGAGAATACTCGAGAAGGACATCCACCCCAGAGGAAATGTGCCGGTCAGAGAAGAGTGCTTAGGGTTGCGCCAGCAGGAGGGCTAAGCCCAAGTGTGCGAGCCTCCTGCTCAGGACGTGAAGCTGAGAACCTGGCTCTCCAACTCGGGTCCTCCAACTTCCAAGTGGGGCCAATGGTGCCATGCTGGATGGGTTGGTGTGGTGGGGGAGATGCAGTGCCCAGGAGTGAGCACGTGCTCAGTCCAGCTGGCCTCCCACACCACCACTCTCCTCCAAGCAGCAGTGCCAGAAATGGCAGTGGAGAGGCAACTGCACTGCCTACGGCCTTGGTGTGTACTCCCATCTGTGGTGAAAGTCGTGGGTAGCCCCAGCACCTCCTGCCCTGGGAGCACTGGCCACCCAGGCCGCCAGGATGCCACAGGGACCCTGGCCCAATAGGAGATGTCTGCTGGCCATAGACATGACCCAGCTTCAAAAGGACCCTAATGGCAATGTACAGGTGGCCAGGGTGGGCGGAGTGTCGGGAAAGAGGACAGAGGATTCTGTGTCTGTCCTGCCTGCCCTACAAACAGACCTTCAGGGAACCTGAGCAGCAGTGTGTCTTTGTCAACATCTTCCAGCCAGGAGAAGAAGGGAGCAGCAGGAGCAGTACAGCATCTCCACTGCCCGCCCAGAAGCAAGGACATGGTGAGCCCCTCACCTCCAGAGCCAGATAGCACCTGCTCAGGGGTAGCCGGAGCAACTTGGAGCTACCGCCAATTCCACCCACCCCAGGAGGCGGGTCCTCTGCAAGTCCAGACCTGGGGGACACCCCGGGATAAGAAGTGCAGAGGCACCCTGAGGAGGCTGTGGGTCAGTCCTAAGCACAAGCCCTGTGTTCATCCTGCCAGAAACAACCAGAAACAAACACAAGCCAAAAGCCAGAGCATTCACAGGATAACCAGAGATAATAGCAGGAGCGGCATCTGGCAGGAAGCAATCCCCATGCCTCTCCCACCAGTCATGCGGGCATTGGGTTAAGCAATCCTAAAGGACAAATGCTAACACCATGGATGAGCCGCAAGGTGCAGCGGGTGGCACAGGAGCCTGGTGGAGCTGCTGGACGGCTGAGCACACAGCTCCTGGTGAGCTTGTGGAAGCAGCTCAAGCACTGCTACAAACACATTTTGAGGTCTCAGCGTCTCCCTTGGGGGTGTTTTTGCCTTTTCCCAGAACTGAGACAGTCCGCACTCCTCAGAAAGAGTGGAGGAGAATCCAGCAGGAGTCGGGAGCAGGGTGCACAAGACGGTGCCACCGGGCTCTGCGAGCTCGCCCCTCAGTCAAGGGTCAAGCCCCCGACCTAGCGCAGGATGTGAGTCTTACCTTCCTGGAGGCCTGGCACCAACTTGTAAACGATGTCCTGCATGGTTCTGTCATGACTGCAGAGAGAAGAGTGGGGTGTCAGGGGACATTACTCTGTGACTCTCACATTGTCCATGTGGTCAGCACAGGTTTTGGTGGGGTTTTCCTTTCAGTTTGCATATGAAAAAATGTGCTGCCCAAAGTTCTCAATGACCTGAACTGAGGCATCATGTAGTTGGATTCCAGCTGCTTGTGAGTGTTTCAAACAGTGATGGCAGGTCAGAAGGTCACCCCAGCAATGATGCCTGTCCTGCTGGACCTGGGGCCAACTCACGGGGCAGCTCTGGCCTACCCACACTCTGCTCCTGCCCTCCTGCCTGGGGCCCCAGCTCCATGAGGTCAGGCCTGATCCCCTTGGAAAATTTCTGACATTGAGCTGGGGCTGGGGCTCAGCAGTAGAGTGCTCGCCTAGTGCATATGAGCACCACATAAAAATAAATAAATAAAACAAAGGTTAAAAAAAAGAAACTGTTTTCTTTTTTAGGTCAAAAACGGTTACAGAATTGTTAGTTTTCAAATCAACTTTAATTTCTAAACATAATTTCCACAAAAACAAAGCCTTTATGCACCAAATTAGTGACATCTAAATAACTGACAAATTTTAAAATTTCATAAAATTCACAGAAATCTAGCCATCAAGGGCCAGGCGCAGAAGCTGTTTACAAGGACGGCGGTCTACTCCATGAGCAGAGTGGAGTGTGGAGGGCCACGCGGGCTCTCAGGCCCCCCTCGCCCATGTCCTGAGCAGGACACTTGTGCTCAGCAGGCCTTCAGTGCACACAGTGCCACAGACACCTCCCAGCACGATTCTCTCCCACCAGATCTTGCCCACCCCGGGACACACTGGGCCATGCTGCCTGCCACCAAGCTCTACATCTGGGTCCCTCATGACGCCAGGCTTTGCCACCTGCCTAGGAGTTGCAGGGACCTTTCTTCAGAGCAGGTGCCAAACAGATGGGGAAGAATGGCAAAGAGGGCTTTTGAGTGGCAGCCCCTGGAGTGAAGCCCCTTCTCTGACACAGGCTGAGAGCCGCTCTCTCTCCCTTTGTCACATGCTCCATGGCCTCTGCCAGACCCTGGAGCCCAGGTCCAGCACCTATCTGGGATGTCTGCCAGCCTGGCCACTGTAAATCCTGAACACAAATGCTGAAGCTGAGAAGACCGTGCCACACCCAGCCTTGGTGTGGCAGTCCCTGGTCAGCCTGCCTTGCCCTGTGAGTGCAGGGTGGGCACTTGAGGAGGGTATAGGGGCTGCCACCCAGGTTGTGAGGAGGAAGGGGCTGAGGGCCCAAAGGCCAGGGACCCTCCACAGGGGAGGTTCTCCACCCAGCTCACAGCCATGAGTCCTAACCCAGAGATGAACTGGAGACGAGAAGCAGGACCCAGCCCTGTGGACCCAAGCCCAAGCCCCCAAGGCCTTGCACCGGGTCAGCTCCAGTCCCAGCCCCACCCCTACTCTCTCCACATTAGCACAATAGCCTGATTCTTCGAGGAAAGGGTCTGTCCCCCAGGCAGTACCTGGAGAAGGGGCGGCCAGCATGAAGGCCCTTACATCTCCTGCCATCAGTAGTTCTTGTGGGGAAACCCCTCCCTCAGGTTTGCACAACTGTACCCCAAGAGAGCAGACACAGAGCCACTGCAATCAGCCCATAGGAGGACCTCTATAAGGCAGAACCAGAACAGCAAGGCACCAGAGGTAGATGGCACCTGGAGAAGAGAAGCCCAGACTGCCAACTGACACCCGAAGGGCCACAGGACCATGAGGGGCTGCCTGGAGGCTGGCAGGGCCTCTGAGGACTGGTACCTTCCCCTGTGTTGCACACTGCACAAGTTTAAGCAGAACACAGACATACGCCAAGCCCTTCGACAGTTGCCTTTAGACTTTTCTTTGCTCCCACAGGTGGTATAGGGGCACTGTGTTTCCTCCAGTGGCCCCCCAAATCTGAAACTCCACCTGGCGAGCTCCTCACCTCCTGGCCCCATTCCAGGTTCAAGTTATTTCCACAGAAAGTGGGTCCCAGGCCTGACTCACACTTCAAATTGAACTTCAGCCACTCCATTAAAACTCGTGAAATCCCAAGTGGCCTGGAGATCTCTCCAGCAACCTAGGCCACTGCATGGCCTGATGTCTAGGTGCCTGCGGAGCGGCGGCTCCACAGGGAGGGGCAGACGCCTGTGGCTGCTCACTCCCATTCCACCTGGCGCGGTGTGCACTCACCCAATGTACTGCAGCGGGTGGCTCTGGTGGATCACTATCCTGCAGGTGGGACAGGTGTTGTTCTCCTCCAGGTACTTCACCAGGCAGCTCCTGCAGACTGTCCAAGGCGCACTCGGTGAGAAAGCAAGTCCAGAAGGGAGACACTGGTTCACACCTGCACCCCCCCCCCCCTAATGGCAGCCAAGGAGGACACCTCTGACTCATTTGCAGGTGTGACACAGAAGAGTCACATTCTTACTCCTGAAAGAAAGCACCGCCCCTTGGGCTTTACTCAGCAGTGGGAACTGGGGTCCTGGCTGTCCCGCAGGCAAGGGCACTAGGGTGGAGAGCTTTCCTAAGCTGGCCTGAAAGACTACAGCATTTTCTTTGTACAACACAAAATGATAAAATTCAACAAAAATCACCTGGTTATGCCCAATGGCTTCTAATGCAATTAACTTAATAAAGTGTGTATTGAAATGGGTGAGTGTTTTCTAAAGGGAGCAGTGCGGAGTGGGAGGTCATCTGTGCAGAGCCTTTGCATTAGCAAAATGCTCCTCAGCGGCCACCAGAGGCACCATCACCCTGTAGGTGACCAGTACCTGCTTTGCAAACAGAGAAACCCACACAAGCCCAGATGGTCAGAACAGGTAATCAGTCCCTAGGAGCAAACCAGTAGACACCCACCTGAAAAGTGCAAGACTTCATTTGAAATGTAAAACAGGCCTCTCTGTCTGCTGAAGGAGAAGGTCGCCATGCCATAGGCCCTATGGCAACAACACAGTAGCTCTGTGTCCCGTGACCCTAGGGAAGTCTCATCTCCAGGAATCCCAGGGTACTTCTTGACCTCTCCTGGAGTCCCTGCTCCTTTCCTGGCCCTGCTGCCCTTGCACATGAACTAAAAGCTTTTGGTAAGACACAGCCAAGTCCCCAGGAACACATAGAAGGAGCTGCCTACCCACCCCCGTCACTGTGGTCCTTGGAACCATCTGGAAGGCGCAGAGTTGTAGGCGGACTTACACGTGTGCAGACACTCGGTCACCGTGGTCGCATCAATGAGGTACCCACTGCACAGGCGGCAGGTGATGTGGGCATTTATGTCCCAGAGCTTAATCTTCCTGGTCAACATCTTTGGCTTCTGCAAGAGAAACCTATGACAACTTCCATCTGAACCACTCCGATGTGTTTCACCTAGCCTCCAGCAAACACTGTCTCTCCAGGGATGGCACAGTGTGCCATGGCCTGGTGTCCACAGATTAGCTGCTTGGGCCAAGTCCTCTTCCTAACTGGAGGCCCATCCCTGCCTCTCAGGTGGGCATGGAGCCAGGCCAGCCCTCTGGTCCATGGCCTAGCCCCTGGATATGATAGTAGGTGGAGGATGGCCCTGACTCTAGGAATCCACCACCAGCTACTGCTGTGCACCAGGGCCTGTGGCTGCCAGGAAGACACCAGAGCCCCAGGGTGGGGAGGACTAGTGCTATCCTGTGGGCTTGACCCCCTCTGCGCCAGTCTGAACCAGACGCCACCCCTGACCTGCAGGCACTGCAGCTGAGGCTCAGGCCCTCCTGCTCGCAGCTCCCACATGAGTCAGGAGGGGAGTGCAGCTCAACCCCTCTGCACACCCAGGAGACAGCTGGTGGCTCCCACAAGGTGTCCCACACAGCCCCGTGGGCTCCAGGTACACACCTGCTCTCCGCAGTCACAAGTATGGCACGAGTGCTGGCGAGGCCATCTGACACTGCACCCCTCCCCATTGTGCCTCACCCCCACAGTCTGAGACACCACCATCTTCACCCCCCACCATCCGGTTGGCCTCACCTCCTCTGGACGTCTGCGTGTCCCTCCTCCCGCGTGGCATGGAGGCTTCAGGCCACCACGCGGATGCGCCGCTCCTCCCTCCCTCTGCACTCTGGCTCACTTGGGCACCTCCCTCCTGGCTTCTGCTCTGCTTCCATCTCCTAGCACAGAAATGGCACTGTTACTTTAGTCACGTCACTGAAACTCCTGCATACAGTCCTGCCACTCCGTTCTCAGTGGACCAAGCAAATCCTGCAGCAATGGGGACAGAGTCCACTGGACACATTAACCCAGAGGAAGGCACTGGGCACTGAGAGTTGCTGTCGTAGACGCCACCAGGGAACTGCAGACCTGCCCGTGGCCACGACACACTGACCCAGCATGACTCTGGGAATTGCCCATTGATTCAAAGGCACAGGAGGAGGGAGGCCAGCTCAAATGCACTCACCTGAGAGTGGGGGCCGGGGGTCCCGCTACATCGTGAAGCCTGAGGAGAAGCAGAGACAGGCGTCACTACAGGACACGGGGCAAGGTGCTGCCCACACAGGGGCCCACCGCCAGCAGCTCTGAGCCTTGGGTGGTTAAACATGTCTGCTCATTTACTTGCTTAAAAAAAAAAAAAAATTGAAAATCAATGATGGCAAAGAAGGGGGATTTACTATGGAGACAGGTGAAGTATCTGCCTAGTGTGCCCAGCCCAGCCCAGCCAAAGCCAAGGGAAACTATGAGAGCAGAAACCTGGCTCATGGGGACACAGAATGGAGGTGGGGGCTCTGTCACACTGCTTTGGACCCAAGAAGGCAGAAGGGGGTCCATGGACCTCCCCAAGAGAGGCAGTGGATTTCAGGGTGAGCTGCGCAGGGATTCTGGAGAGGGACTGCGAAGAACAAGTCTGTCATGAGATTCCTGTGACACCCATGACTTCTGCAGCCTCATGCCCACACTGAGCACTGTGTTCTTTCCTGGTCAGACTTCCCACCCACTAAGAGAATGTGCATGAGGAAACGTGTGGGCACCTGGCAGGTGCGCGGCTCAGGGGAATGAGGACATGAGGTGGGCGCTTGCAGCAGTGAAGAACCAGAGCCACCCTGGCAGAGCCACATGGGCTTCCAACCACATGGCCACCAGGGACTGTGCTCTGGGACAGGGCTAGCAGTGATGGGCAACCGCTGTATGTTGAGGGGAGCTCAGGAGCCCAGCCAGGCCCCCCTAGGTGCGTCTCCTGAGCACTTGTCCAGGGCTCTGTTCTGACATGGGAGCAAATGTCCCCAGAGAAGGGCTTGAGGATTGCCTGGAGCAAAACTCTGGAGAGCGCCAGGGCTCCAGGACAGAGTGAGGCCTGAGTTTGAGATCAGTGCTCAGATATGGCCTTACATGTGCTTACACCCATCCTGTACCAGGTTCTCTTTCAGGTATTCCCATAACTGCCTTGGACTAACAATCTTGAAGCTCCGGTAACTTCCCCAAGGAAGGGACAGAGGAGAGTCTGTCTTCCCAGCAAACTGAAGCAGAACCAACAGGCCTGTGTGCAGCCCTTAGAAGGTGGGGGGATGAGCCAGCTTGTGGCCAGGGCTGTCCTGAACTGTCCCCGCCCAGTATGGCAGCCACTGACCACCCAAGGCTGCTGAAACTCCAACGGTGGCTCATGTTACAGAGGAGATGAAGTGTTAGCACATGTAACTTTTAACAAGTCACAACCAGTGGGTCCTGAACTGGGCAGCCATACACATAAATCCCCACTGCCTACGTCTTGACAGCACCAACAATAACAAGCAAGCATAACTGGGTGGGTTACCGAGGACATGAGAAGATGAGATGAGCAGGCATACGGGTGGGCATCTGCAGACAGCCTAGTGAGTGAGCACAGAGCCGCAAGGAAGGCGCCTGGCAACATCAGTGCTGTGCACAGCTTCAGGGTGACAGAAACCCAAGTCCACATGCAACTGGCAAATTCCTCAGAAATTGACTATTTAGGAAATTCCCAGAATTGAGACAAGTGGAGAAAACCAGAACTCTATTTTAGAAGCTGAGTAAGCAACTGCAAAGTTTCCTTCAAAGAAGACTCCTGCCTGGAAGTCCCCAGAGGGACCTACAGGGCAGCCAGGACACTCCGTCCTCTCAGGAAACAAGGCAGCTTGGGGCAGCTTGGGCAAAGTGCTTGCCTAGCACATACCAGACCCAGGCTTCTGTCCCTAGCACCACAAGAAACGCAAAGACAGCTCTTCCAACTCAGTTTGCGGACCAGTGATGCACACACCAAACCCTGCCGAGGTCAGAGCAGAGGGAAAAGGACAGACGCATCACCCAACAGGACCAGCTGCCTCAGCCACCGCTCTCCACCAGGCAGAGGCTGCCTTGCACTATAGGGAGAACACCTCCTTAGAAGAAAGGCCACATAGTCTACAACAGACACACAAACCACTCGACAAAATCCAACACCCGCTAGTAATTTTAAACACTCTTAAAACTTAGAAGGAAAAAAGTTCTCCAAGAGTCATTCACTAAGAGGGAGCCACTCAAGTGTGTGTGTGAGCATGGGCAGTGCTCTTGGGGAGCCCGGAGGAACTGAGAACTCCCTGGGCAGAGGCAAGCTCCACAGAGAAGGCATGTACAATGACAATCCTTGGTCCTCTGTGACATGGAGTTCAAGCAGGCAAGCCTCAAGTTAGGACTGTAAGCTGGTGGACCTTGTGTGAGTGACCTCAAGAAAAGAACAGTGTTCAGTTTACAGCAAGATGCAGACATCACCACAGACCTGCCTGCCCGTGTGGATGAAGCCATGTGGGAGCAGACCCTTGCACCTGGCAAGGCCTTTCTGCCCCTGGAGAGCCTGGTGAAACAGAAAAGAGGCAGCAGGTATGAGGGAGATGGCCAGCCGGACTCCCTGAGCACAACTTCACTGGATTACTGGAAGCTGTCACCCCACTGCAACAGTGACAGCAAGGGACGTGCGGCAGAAGGCACACAGTGAAGCTGACCCTCTGGGTTAGCAACACCCTGCAGGACCTGTTCTTGTCCTGCCCACAGCAGCAGCAGAGCTCAGCTTGCCCTCAGCCCAGGCTCCTCAGAGTGCCATGAGGTGCCATGAGGCCACTGGGATGCAGGGCTGGCTGGGTACTTAGTGCTCCCTCCACTAAGGCTACTTCCACTTTACACTGAGTTTATTGGGTCAGGACCCATTCTGGGGGTCATCAGGACACCAGGACCACAACCAGGGCCAGCAGCTCAGTGGCTCCCAATAGAACAGTTCTGTCCTTTGCCCTTCTCTAGGCACAGAAAGAGCGTTAGAAAAGGGAAACTCCAAATGAGCACGCTTAAAACGCTGAGCTTCATCCGTAAACTGCAAGTGCAGATTTGACACTGGGAGATCCAGTGACAGGCCACCATGCTGGCAAGAGGAGCCCTTGGCAAGGTGTGCTAGCCAGCAGTGGAGCCTGGTATCAGCTCAGGAAGTGGAAAGGCACAGCCAGGAACCAGGTGGCCTTCCTTCTGCAAGAGTCCCCCTGCCAGCCTCTGCCCCACGGCCCCTTCCTAGGGGCTCTGGCCTCAGGCAAGACTGCCTCAGCAGCCATCCCAGCATCCTCTGGAGGCCCTCTGAGCACCACGTTTGCCTATTACCCCACTGCACTCAGCTGTGTGCAGGGCTGCAAGGGCAAATGTGGGACTGAGGAGAAGGCAGTGATGCATCGCGAGTTCTGGGCTGGGGAGGCTGGGAAGGAATGGGCTGGTGGCTTGTTGGGCTTGAGGAGGTTGTCAGACAGGGACTCCTGTGTAGGCAGCCTATAAGCCAAGCCACCCATCCTCACCTGCTTCAGGACAGGCACCACCGTGTGGTGTGTCTCTGGGGATGCTCATGCACTATATCATGTCTGCTCCATGATTGGGGGACAGGAGCAAGGGACTGCATGCTTCTTATAGGCAAATGAGAGGAGAGTTCCCTCTGTGGCAGGCCTGGGCCCTGGGGCTCTCTCCTGCCCATTGCACGCAGATCACTCTGCCTCTGCCTTAGCTGTTTACACGCCCAGTTCTATTTGACCCCTGGTCATGGGGTCTTAATTTACAGTTTCTAGACATGTGGAAACGTAAATAAACTTCTAAAGCTGAAAAGTTAAACTCTACCTAAAAATCCTGGTTCTGCTCACATATTGGTGACTATGTGCCTGACGCCCAGCTGCATCTTCTGCCATCAGCAAGTCGGAAACACCCTTCAAAACCCACTCTTGACGAGATGCTGTCATGCTAAAGCATGTGACAAGAGCCTGCTCTCCTGTGGGCCCCAGAGCTTGTCCCAAGGCTCTGATGGGGACCAAGCTGGCCCCCAAACCCCAGGCCTGCACACAACAGGGCCATGGTGGTACCAGACTGAAGGAAGGTTTCCAACAAGAAACAAAACACGTATTGATCTATCTCATCTTCCTTTTTCTTTTTTAATGGTCCTGAGGTTAGAATCCAAAGGCTCTCTTCTCTACCCATGAGATACACCCCAGCCCTTTTTACTTTTTGAGACAGGGCCTCGCTACGTTGCTGAGTCTGGCCTTGAGCTTGTGACCCTCCTGCCTCTGCCTCCTCAGTCACTGAGAGTACAGGTGTGCACCTGCACTGTACCTGGCAAGTACAGACCCTTTTACAAAATAGAGGAGCCAGGCAGACCTTCAGCTGCTCTGACAGGTACCTCCCCGGCCTGTCCCAGAGGCAAGGGCTCTCCATTCTGAGCCTTGAGACCCACCCACACCAGTGCCAGCCTGCACAACCTTGTGTGGCGATGCAGGCTCCCACTGTGCTGACCATCCGGATGGCTGGGAGCGACTGGCCCTTGACCTGGGGCTGACGACATCAACACGTCAGCCCTGCCCCTACCTCTCCTGTCAGTCCAGCCTCTTCCAGCACTCAGTGACCTGGGAGTCTTGCAGATTTCTCTCCCCTGGCTAACAGATGGGACACGTCCTCAGACAGCTGTCCTTTGGGAGGCTGGTGGTGGGCCCTTGGGCAGCATCTGGGACTCGGCTGGCAAGAGCGCTCTTTGCTGAATGAGAAGCACAGGCTGGGTCTAAACACAGCCATGAGGTACTGTGTGGATTGTGCTGAAACTGCATCCTCCCAGTCTAGAAATCACTTCAGTGCTGGGACAGTGGCTCCCATGTGACATCATAGGCTGGTGCTACAGAGGGAATAAGTGTGTCTGACCCCTGTGCCTCTCCCCTGAATAACTAGCCAGTCCTCTCATTACAGCAAACGTTAGCCAGGAGGAGAGCCAAGTCCTGAAAAAATGCCCAGCTGCAGGAGGACACTGGTCCAGAAAAACATACTATTAGAAATACTCTGTACCCAGAATGTCTCACTCCATACCCACCTAAGTGTGGTCAGGAGGGACATGACACCAACCAAGATCAACCCCCACCCCCGAAGTGGTCAGGAGGGATGGACACCAACCAAGACTGGCACCTCCCCAGTGTGCTCAGGAGGGATGGACACCAACCAAGGCTGAGACCCCAGTGTACTCAGGAGGGATAGACACCAACCAAGGCTGAGACCCCAGTGTACTCAGGAACGACGGACACCAACCAAGTCTGGCACCTCCCCAGTGTACTCAGGAGGGATGGACACCAACCAAGGCCAGAGAGGACCAATCAAGTTAAGGAAAAACATTATGGAAAAACTTCCTAAGACCACTAGGGAAAATACAAACGGCCTGAAAATGAATTATTATGTGGATGGCATGACCGCTCTCTTGGTGCCACAGTGGTATTGCAGTTGTGTGAGGGACCACTTCTGACACTCTATATTGTCTGAGTGATGTGTCATGCTGTCTGTAGCTACTCTCCAATGCTTCCATTAGCAAGCAGTCACGTACAGCAAAAGATGAAGCAGATGTAGTCCATAACAGAACCGAGTTTCTGAGCATGGGCTTCAAGGGTCCTGCTCCACCCTGTTCAGGCTAAATACCCTGAACTGAACAGCGTGTAAAAAAGAGAGATTTTCTTGTCCATGCTGGAGGCAAGAAGTCCAGTCAAGGTGCCACAGGCTGGTGGCTACCTAAGGCTCCTTCTCCAGGGAAGCTTGTGAGGGTGGGGCCTCCCAAAGGCCCACTCCCACCGCTATCAAGAGGGGCTGGGATTTCAACATAGGGATTTGGGGAACACAAACATCCAAACAATGGCAGAATTCCCTATAGCTTTTCTTCAGGCCTTTTTTTCTTAATGAACATTTGGATAAAAGTAAAACAAACCCTTGAAATAAAAGGAAGCTTACCCTTCTTCAGTTTTGCCTCCTAATGTGGGGGTACCTGTCCCCTATTCCCACAGCAGGCAAATGGGTGTAATCAGGGAGTGTCCTAGTTGACTTTGGCAAACAGGGTGGTATGTACAAGACCCTCAGAACTGGGCCACAGAGGTGTCCCGCAGGAGCATCCACATGGTCACTGGATACAGGCCAAACCCTCCTAGGAACCAGAAGATGGAGTAGCTGACAAGACCCACGGACCTCCAGACCCCCCACGAGACCCAGGGGCCGCCTCAAGTCCTGCAGGACCCCCAGGACCCATAGGCAGTGGGGCTTCATGGCTACCTATCGACCCCTTTCTAGTGTTCACATGCTTCTTATAAATATCTACTAAATCCAGCAAATATCAATGAATTTATCCAAAAAAGAGATAAATTAACCTGTACATTCATTTAAATGCTAGAGTTTCTCTTCAAAACAGCAAGTTGGCCTAACCACTATCGAGGAGTCCCCACTCCTGATGAGCTCACTCCCAGAGGTGGGGTTCTGCTTGACTCAGGGGGCGAATATTCACTCCTGCCCTTCATCCTGTCCTGAAGTCCACAGCTGTAGGAAGAAACTCAGATTAAAAAAAAAGAATGTTCTTATTTTTAAAGGCCTCACACTTTTTAAATTTAATGATAAACTGCCCACTTGTAGAACTGAAGACTAGCTCCAATTTTTGAAGTCCAATGAATTGTGCAGCATTTTTGTAATACAAGCAGCACACATCACAAGACACTAGAAAACTGTCCCTGAACCTCAACATTTCACAGTAAAGGAAAATTACAGCTTCAACTTAAAATCCAATATCAAATTTGATATCTGAATATCAAACAAATAAGGCTGCAAATGAATAACAATCCTGCCATTTAATAAAGAACAACAGGTAGACCGAAATGAGCCTTGCTTTATGGTCCAAACAACCCACATACACAATTCCAGTTAATAGCGAAGAGTCCTTCCTCACCCAGCAGCCCTGGGTGGAATACCCCAAGTCTAGAGACGGCAGACAGGTGAAAGGTGGCCAGAGGGCCGTATCCAGGGCAACCCTGAACGGGTGCCCAGGTGCAGCTCTGGGTCTAGGCTCCCCCTGGGCAGGCCTTGGCCAGGGAGCCCACAGAAGACAAACATTCCACTTCAGAGATGCCACACCTCGTATACTACTTTGAAGAGGACACATAAAACAAGTGCACAAGGTCCAAAATGACAGGAGAAACTTTCTCCACGTTTAAATGGTTGAGACAAACACTTCTCACAACATTCTTTCTTTGGACAAGATCACTGGTAGAAATACCAGTGAGACTGTGGGAGACTGAAACCCTTGCACCCGGGCAACCAAGGACCCCACGGCTCTGTACCCTCACGACTCCTGAGGGCAAGCTGACACCTAGGGATCTCTTCTGTCCATGACTCATCTCTCGTCATGTGCCAGATCCCAGGCAGCACAGCCAAGCCAGAGCCCCCATTCCACCAACATGGGTCTTAACTTCTTATGGAAGCTTTTCAAGTATCACTTATGAAACCAGCTAAGTGCCATGCTCACAATGCTGCTGCAGAGTCCACCCACCTTGCACCACCCTGAGGGGCCCCTTCCCCTCAAGTCTGCACAGGGCCTCACTTCTCACTTCTAACAAAAAGAACTCACCAAAGTTATGGGACACCACTTCCAAGGTAGGCTGCAAAGCCAGTGGTCTCCTTCCCTTCCCCATTCCTTCTCAGCTGCCTCTGAGAGGCCTACAGGAGGAGCTGGCCTCTCCTGCAGGCAGCATGGGAGGGGCCTGAGGTGGGTGGCCCCTGGGGAGGTGCCCAGCCAGCACCTGACTGTAGGCCTGTGGGTGCTGAGCCAGAAGACCTGGTCGGCCACCTTGCGTTCTTGACCCAGAGACTGTAGGATCATAACTGACTGTTGGCTTAGAGAACTAAGTTCTGGGGAAAACAGCTGCATGATGACATAAAATAAAACCACTCAGCACTACCACACTTTCAAAAATACAAAAAGGAAAACATAGGTTCTGAACACTTACTCAAGTTTGCATGTCTTTTCAAAACTTCAAAAGGCAAATTAAGTTTTAACCACAGTAGAAAGAGTGTGTCAAAAGAACAAGTCAAAAGTAAGCACCAAGGACAAAGTCCCAAATGCAGTTATGTTTGGCAATGCACGCTGGACATGCAGGGACACAGTGTGGTTGATGTTCAGTGCTAGGAACCTAAGGTGGTTTTCTCCTGAGTAACCAGAACTGACTGTGGCTCAAGATGAAAAAATGGAATTGACCAGTTCAAGCATCTCTCAGGAGCCCAGAGTTTGAGACTCACACCTCATCCTCAGTTTGCAGCTGACCTACAGGTGCACCTGCCTTCTACTCTTCTCTGGCACCCACTCTTCAGTAATATGCTGCCTGCTGCCCACACCAGGCAGGCTTCAGGTGCTGGGTAGAGCCAAGTTCCTGCCCTTGGACTTTCCATTCTCAGAGAACACACATGGAGACTGCCCTATTCAAGTGCAGCACACTGCTGGCCCATGAATACCTCTCACAGCATAAAAGCTGCACCCACTTTTCATGGCCAATTCCGTGGAATGTTTCAGAGAAAGAAAGACCCCCTCCCCAAGATCCAACAATGCCCTCCTCTCCTGGAGTGGAACTAGCCTCTGACTTGCTCTCCCACGCAACCTTGCTGTCCAGCTTTCCTGCCCAAAGCCTTCTGCCCCAGCTTGCAACCCACCCTTCCACCCATTCCTGAAGTCCCCCGGACACTGGAGACATTTCTAGACTCAGGATACACCTGTACAACCTTGAGAAGGATTAGGGGAGGGACAAGAGGGTAATCCCGGGGTCAAGACAAGGAAAGGACAGCATCGCCAAAGGAGGGGCTAAGAGCAACAGGAGGCAGCTTTCCAAGTCAGTGGCACAGAGCACCCCTGGATGAGGAATTCCCCTGAAAACCTGAGTCCCAGAGCCAGAAGGATGAGCCCCAACCTTGCCTTGCACCTGCCTCCAGGTCCCTTTCCAGGCAGTACCTGCTATAGGTCTTGGGCCCAGCCCAAGAGTTCATGATGTCAGGGTGCTCAGGGTCTTGTGTAAAGAGCCTTTTGAACCTGTGGGGCTCAGGTGAGCAGGATCCCACATGCCTGCACCTGCACAGCAGGGAGCCAGGTGGTGAGCTGGACAGATTTAGGACACCTCTGGATCCCACTGAAGGCTCAGCACTTCCAACCCAGTCTAGATGCTCAGAGTCCCAGGCCACCCTGGGGACCTGTCTTAAAGTTTTACTTCTTATCAGGGTCCTCTATGAGAGGACTTAGAGTCTGTCCATGTCATGAACTTTTCTCAGGTATAGACTCAGGGTCCTGCCTCATGGGGACAAGAGGCCACCTTAGGGTCCCCAAAGTGCTCACAGGCCTGCACCAGGGCTGTGGACCTCTGGGGCCAGTCTGAGTGCCCCAGTCCTCCCAGTGAGCTTTTCCCGGAGTCCTGACCTTCCTGTGGCTTTGTTCCAGGATCCTGGCCCTCCTCTATGACCTGTCTTGAGTTAGACACTCCTCAGTTTTCTTGGCATTCTCTGGGTCCTGTCTGGTCCTGAGGTCAAGTCCTCCTCAATGATCCTTCCCAGAGTCCCAGACTGTCAGGTCCCCAGGACTGACTGTCCCTGGTGGCCCATCCTGGAATCCCAGCCCTTTTCAGTGACCTGTCCTGGGGTTGAACTCTCCTGAATGGCATGTTCTGAGATCCCAAAACTCTGTGGGTCTTCCCTGGTCCCAAGGACTGACCCTCCTCAGTGAATGGCCCTTCAGTGACTGGTAGGACTCCTGTCTGTTCAAGGGTCCTACCCTCCCTGGGTCCACCCTGGCCCAAGGTCCTGCTTGGTTCAGGGTCCTGTCCTCCCCGGATCCTGCCTGGTCTGGAATCCTGCCTTCCCGGGATTCTGCCTGTTCCAGGGTCCTGTCCTCCTGGGCTCCTGCCCGGTCTGCAGTCCAGCCTGGTCCAGGGTCCTGCCCTCCATGGGTCCAGCCGTCTGGGGGTCCTGCCCTCCCGGGTCCAACCTGGCCTGGGGTCCGGCCCTCCAGGGTCCCGGCCGCCTCCTGGCCCTCGGGATCCCGCCTCCCCGGGCCGGCCGAGCGGCGCCGGGCTTGCAGCCCTCAGCCGGACACGGGCCGAGGCCGCGGCCTGAGGAGCGGGCGCGCGGGCCCAGGCCGGGCGGGGCGGGCTCACTGACCTGCGTCTCGGGCGGCGGGCGAGCGGGCGCACGCGGGGGCTCGCCGGGAGGGGGAGGGGGCGCCGCTCCCTCCGGGTCCCCCCCAGAGGAGGAGAAAAAAGCCGTCCGGAGTTTAAAACAAAGAGGCGGAAATGCCCGAGCCGAGCCGAGCGCCGGGTCGGGGGCGCCGCGCCTGGAGCATGCGCGGTGCGCGGCTCGGCTCCCACCCCGCGGCCGAGCGGGGGCGGGGCCCGGAGGGGGCGGGCCCGGGCGGAGCCTGAGGGCGCAGGCGCGTGTGGTCCGCGCTCGGCCGAAGCGGCTGGCGCGATGGGAGGGGCGGGGCCGGGGAGGGGCCACAGGGTAAGGGGCGGGGACCGTCGGGCGTGGTTGGGCGGGGCGTGGACGGAGTGCACCGGGCGCGCTGCGGGTCGGCGTGCGGGCGCTGGACGCTGACCTGCTGGGGTGTGGGGCTGGGCGGGGCTCCCTGCTCTGAACGTGGCAGGTGCGCTGTACGCCGCAGACCTACAGGGCCCCTGCCTTCGGTCTCACGGACCTGAAACAGCCGGGCTGACCGCACAGCTCCTCTGCTTGTCGACCTGTGCGAGACCCACCCTAGAACCGTGAGCAGTGACCGAGAAGTTCACGCCCTCTAGGGTCTTCACTGTAGTGGGAGGGGCAGCAAGAGGGAAAAGGAAGTGTAGTGTCTTTAGGAGACTGAGTGGCACGCTGAGTGGATTTCCGCATGGGGCTGGGGCAAGGAAAGGACTGAAGGAAAGGAGCTCAGCTGGAGTCTGGGGTGGTGAGGTGCGCGGCAGGGAGTCCCGCGCATCCTGGGTCCGGAGGGGTCGCTGGAGCTCCTCTGTAACTGCAGGCGTTAAGGTTAGGGCTGGGATTAGAGCGTAGGGAGCAGGAGTCAGGTGGTCTGGGGGTGTGGGAGCACACGGGGCAGAGCTGGGCGTGGGTCAGCAGTGCCCCTGTGGGTGACCAGTAGACGTGGGCATTGAGTCCTGTGAAGCTCCTTAGCTTGTAACACCTGGAAATGGTTGGTCAAAGGAGTGACCACTGAGGTGACTATATGAAATGGAGTCCTGGAGTCCTGGAGGAGCCCAGGGCAGAGCCACCGCCTGTGGGCGGGTCTGGCTTGAGTTAGCTGCTGGGGGTGTTTGAGAATGCCCATGGGGCTTTCAGAGGCCTTGGCAGCAGTATGGATGCATCATAGTGTGGAAACTGGATCATGGCAGGTTCGAAAAGTGCATTTTCGAAAAAGACACATTTTAAGGCCTTTTGCTGTAAAGGAAAGCAACAAAATGGGGCTCTGTCCAGGGGAGGTGAGGGGCAAACAGGACTGCTTTCTTTCTGGGTGGGAACTCTGGTGGCCTTGTGGTGCTGCGGGGACAGCTGACTAGAAGGACAAATTGGCCATACTGCAGAAAAGGGAAGGCTGCATAGACGTGGGACCTGGGCCCAGGTGTGGCAGCCGGCCTCTGAGAAGCAGGGGGCCCTTTGCTGTCATGGGGGGCAGGGTCCTGATGCAGGGGTGTGGAAGTGGGGGAGGGAGGCAGAGCCTTGGTGTTGGGGGCAGCATAGAGGTACAAATGAGCAGGCCAAGAGCAGTCCTGGGCTGAGGACAGAGTGACCCCAGGAAGTTTTCTAACTTGATGGATAGATGGCCCCCATGACTTTCTGTCTGTCGGCTACAGGTGAAACTGTGTTGAGAATTCATTCCAGGCCCAAGGTCCCTTCGTCCAACACCTGGGCTGCCAGCTGCTCTTCCAGGTGAGCTCATCTCACCAGCAGCACCAAGGCCACTACTCTGAGCCCAGCTCTGGTGTATAGCCATCCACTTTTCCACCAGGAGATCTTCACAGCGTGACAACTCCAGGTCATCCTTAGAGACTGTGCCCTCATCCCACCCCTGCCAACGCTGAGGACAAGACATGGGGCCTTCCTACCATCTTTCTCTGTGCCTACACCAGCCTTCTGCTGACCTACAGAGCCCATCAGAATCAGGCCGTGTGACCCTTAACTCCACCCTGATTCAACCCCCTGGGGTAGTGAGTAGCTTCCCTCTTCTGTCCTTTGCTCTGTATCCGTTTTCAACATGATGTAGAGACTCTCATAAAAAATTATTCAGGGCATCCCTCCTCTGCTCAGAACCCTCCAGGGCTTCACTCGGCAGAAGCCTGAGGGTGGGGAACCCCAGAGGAGGATGGGAATCTGTGTTGTCTTGGTGGTGAGTTCACAGGGTTACACACATCCCAGCCCACAAAGTAAATGTGTGTAAAGATGGACCCTAAAATCATGGCTCCAGGTCAGACTGTGGGGAGGGGAGGTCCTCCTCCCTGTGGATGAGGGGTCCTCATTCCTGTCTGTGACCAGCCTTCCAGAGGTGCTGGCCTGTCCTCCTGTGATCAAGTCTCATTTTGAGGAACCATTCCAGTTACCCACAAACCCTCGGTGAGGCATCTGGCTCTACAGAGCAGGAGGAATCGAGTTCTTTCTTGATCCCACACTTCTCTGCAAGTTCTCTCTCAAACCCATCAGTTTTTCTCCCCGATCCCCAGGACCCTACTCAACAAGTGCCCTGGTCCAGATCACCGGGACTTCCCAGGGCTAACTCCACCTCCATAACCCCTACATTTGACTGTGTCCTGCTCTCCTGGAAAAACCCTAGTTCCTGACCCCAGGCCATCCTGAGATGAGCAATCAAAAAGCTGATCCCTAGGCGCCTGGGTCCAAGTATGCCAGCTCTACCAAGCTACTCACTGGCTGCCCTGCCTTGTGCACCACCCCTGTCCCTGGAACTCAATTCCTCCATGCTCCTGGACATGCTCCCACACTGCGCCTCCCTCCCCCCAGATGTCTTCTTACCACCAGCCCCCTCACCCCCCAGCTCATCTGCTGACGAAATCCCCAGTGTCAATACCCTATTGTCAAGACCCAGAACCAGGACACGAGTGTGTCAGTGCTGAGTGGAAGGGAGCTTGGTGGCATCCAGCAAGTGACATAGGAGTCTAACTGTTATCCCAGCTGTCTCCAGGGAAGAGTGTACCCCATGACACACCAGAAAAACTGCAAGCAGAGCAAGACTGTAAACTGCAGCATGGTTTGCAGTTCATTTGGTGCTGGGGATTGAACCAGGGCATGCCACCTCTGAGCTTCATCCCCAGCCCTTTTTATTTTTTTGAGACAAGGTCTTGTTAAATTGCTGAGGCTGACCTTGAACTCGAATCCTCCTGCCTCAGCCTCCTGAATTGCTGGGATTACAGGTGTGTGATCACTGCCTCCAACCTGTGGCAAAGTTTATAGTAGGAAAAAAAGACAGAAAACTGTCTACGTGGCTATGTACATGGGAGTAATTGGAAAATGATCAAACCTGCACACCTTGGGCACCTACAGCTGTAAAAAGAAGGAGTGAAAGATGCAGCCGTACTGCTAGAGTGGCCTCCCAAGCACACCACTCAGAGGTGTGAGATGGACCCAGGTGTGCAGCAGCTGCACCTGCCTGAGAGCTAGTGAATATGCCATGCAATTGCCCATGTCAGAATCCTGTGGATTTGGGGACGATTGTGACAGGAGTGGGAATTTTTGGATCTGCCCCAACCCCCTCATGAAATATAGAATAACAGAGCAGAACTCTGGTGGGCAGCAGTGATGACAGGGAGGACATTCTCACGGGCAGTGGGCAGAGCTCTTGTCCTCCTCCCTGTGGCTGCAGCCCTGGTGCCATCAGCCTCTCACCATGGCAAATAAAACAGTGGACAAAACAGATCAAACAGCAGGTGTGCTCTCAGAGACAGCTTTAGGACCTTGGACATCAGCAACCAGGCCTATAACCCTGAGAAACAGCGAGGGAAAGCCTTAGGGAAGCCCAGCTGTGTCCCATAGGACAGGGCCTGGGAGAGGGAGATCTGTCCTGGTGGAGCTCTGAAGATGCACAGAGGGTCCCAGGCCTTAGCCCAGCACTGTGCAGACACGTGGAGACTGCCTGGGTTGGGGAGGAAGGCCTGAAAGGAGGAGCGTGCCCGGCAGGAGTCCCGTGTTCCCACTGACCCAGGGTATCCCCACAGCCCACAGTGCCCACTAGGCTTCCAGCCGTGGGCAGGAAGCTGAAGGGCTGCTCTGTGCAGCCCAGCAGGGTGGGAAGGATGGAGGAATTTCCTGTCATTTACTCTGTTTAGCGCACAAGTATTTGGGATGCTGACAGTGAACATCTAGCTGAGAGCTGTCATTCACACAAGAGAATGTGACCTGCAAAAGGAGCTGTCCCTGAGAGCAGACCTGGAGCAGTGGTGGCAGAATGAGAAGCACAGCAGAGCCGTGGCTGACCCATGTTCCAGTGTGAGAGTGGAAAGTCCAGTGGTCCATTTTTAGAATATAGTATTTAGCTTTGATTGGTAAGATCTGATGGCAGCCATTTTAACTATACCCACTCCCTTTGCCAATCATGTGGACTGTAACCCTGAGCTCCTCCTAGCAGGGCAAGAGGCAGTGATATGTTCAGGATAAATGCAGGTGGACTGCCCTGCCAAGGTGGGCTTGCTAGCCAGGTTAGGTAGCAGCCCTTCTGCAGAAGTAAAGTCTGCCTTGCCCACCCACTTCTGAGCACATGTTTGATTCCTTGTGGCACCCCAGTATTTCTGCATGTTTTGGTGCCTGGCACAGGGCTCCTAAGGGGTCATGGGAACTACCTCCTTAGAGGAGACATGTCCTGCTGCCTTATTGTTGTGGCCTTGGAGTGGAGGAGAAAACTACAATCCTCAAGGCTGACAATAAGCCCCAAATGGAAAGTGGACCAGCAATGCTGGGAAGGGCCCAAGCAAGCACCCCACAACCAGGTGACTCTCTGCATGGACCAAGGAGGAAATCTGTTCTTGAGAAAAAGTACCTCTTTGGTGGTTGGGACATCCCGGAGGTTGTGTGAGTGTGACTGAGACATGAATGCAAAAATCCCCAAAAGGCGGATGGAGCCTCTACGTAGAAACACAAGACTATACCCAGGAAAGTGGAATGAGGGGTGCAGGAAGTCTCCAGTAAGTGGTGGTTGACCACACAGGGGGAACCTACAA